TTTATGACAGTGTCATGACAGTCTTATTCACCCCCTTCAAATAAAGTGTTACCAAAAAATGTTTGTTTTATTTTATTTTTATTTTTCATGAGTTTTAGCCTCTGCCATGTCTTGAAATAAAATGTTATTTTTATTTTTTTATTTTTTTTTATTTTGACTACTGGTATGTAAATACCACTTAAAAAGCGATTAAATATTTTAACTTAATAGTCCAAAAATGGTATGTAGGAGATTGTTTTTAAACTGTCCTATATGTATTTTAGGCCAATGTTGTGGGTCTAATGAGTGTGTCTGCTTTTTGGTGTGGAGGAACCCAGAACTTACCGGACAGCCCTGCTGCGGTGGGAATGCCCTGTGGTTCCCTAGAATGAGCTGGAACCAGGGGAGTGTGATGTCTGAGGGAGTTCCTCTTAGACCTGTGGGCCTGCAACCTGATTTTACATCAGCAGGGCTACAGTATTGGTCAAGGATATAGAAATATGTCATGACAGTTTGAAAACGATCTCCTACATGCCATGAGGCGGAGAAAGAGACGTGTGGAAGCTCGAGGCGAAATGCTGGCTTGTGCACTGATAGCAAGTCTTAGTGTATTGAAGCATTTTCTTGCAGTGTTTACAGAACGTTCCTGTCTTTCTCTCAAAGCATTTGCAGAATAAATATTTTGAAAGTGTTTGGTGGATTCCTCTGAGCTAACTTAACCAAAATTATGTTAATCAACTAAAAAGGCTTGCAAAAAACCTTTAGCATGTCTTATTTAGCATGTCTTAGCTAGCATGTCTTAGCTAGCATGTCTAATTGTAAAACAGCCCAAGTTTGCGACAAAGGTAGAAAGAAAGCATGTTTAACTAACCAGCTAAATTAAAACATTTCATCTGATGTATCTCTTTACTTCTGTGAAATGCAATTAAAGTTTATTTATTTATTTATTTATTTATTTATTTATTTATATTTAGTTAAATCTTTTGGTATTAATGTTAAAAAGACAGACTTTTATACAATGACCTTCAAGTCAGTGATAGAGATTCACTGCAGCACCCACATAGGTTATAACACTGCTGCTCTAAATACTGCAGGTTTCCTGTGTGTTTCTCCTCTGAACAATGATCACAATGGGGCTTTCAGGAGCTTTAGATCCATTTAAGGAGAAGAAATGTATCCGTAGAAGCTAAAGCTCATTGTCCTGCACTGTGCCTTTAGAAACCAAATGTTTTGAAAATGTCTTAAAACTAACTTTCAATTTAGGAAAAAAAAAAGTCTCAATATTTCTATATCTGTTGCTTTAGATCTTTATGTCAGGGAGTTCTTACACGATAATCTGAATACATGAATGCTGTTACGCAGAAATGGATTGTTATTTGACGTTTTCCTTCTCCGCCAAGGTCTGGGAAAGAAAGAGCTCACTGAAAACTCTACACATGGCATTAAGTCTTTTGATAAAGGTACATCAAAAGAGCGATTCAACACATTTAAGACCGAATAACCCACATTCAGCTTATTCTGTTTTCTTGCTTTTGATATTTTACACCAAGCTTTTGGTTCACTTGACCTTTCAGTTTTATTCTTGCGTCTGAACCGTCAGAGTCGTTCGGTTTGTAGAATGTCTTTCTCTCCTTCTCCACTCCACGAGGAAACGATTCTACTGAAACAAAATTATATTTTTCACATTCTTTAACTTTCGCCACCTGTTTTACTTTTGTGTCTCCTTTCCAGTGTTATTCAATATTTTGCCGAACATCTGTTCAGCAACACATTTAAGGAAGGTTTTTACATCAAAACCTGTTTTTGTGTGTGTGTGTGTGTGTGTGGGTGTGTGTGTGTGTGTGTGTGTGTGTGTCCTGGAAAATAGATGTCAACAATGAGCTTTCTCAGCTTTCTTTTAACAATTTTCAACTGATCAAGGATAAACTTCTCTTTAATCATTTCTTTCCTCAGCAAAGAGGAAAATGTGTTATCTTTTAGGATGAACTTGCCTTGTGATTTCAGTTTTGCTTGTATTCAGGAACGTTGCAGACCAGTTGCGCTGGTGAACTTGTTTGGTCTTTGCCTTTATAAAATACACTGAATGCAGCAGACATCGTGTATGCAAAGCACATACAGACGTTCGCATGGAAAGTTGTTGTCATCTGCTCAGTAAGTGATGTCCTGCGCAGATCCACATTTTCTGCAACAATTTGTCTTGAGGACTGGTGTGTTGTAGCATTATCTGGTCGACAGTGCACGGCGTTTCCAACGTTTCTGTGCTAATAAGCAGATTTAATTTCAGGTTGGAAAATGCCAGGGATAAAGACCTGAGTCGACTTAGTCTCGAGAGAAAGTTCAGCTGCAAAAACAAACACTTCAGACTTGACTTTGACTTTTGCTCTAACGACTCTAGACTTGACTTAAACTCGCGGCCTGGGACTTGATGCTCACGAACAAACTGGAGATGGAGAATAAGCTGCATGGCAAGAGCAGATCATTTCAGTAAATGATTAATATTGTCCCACCTAAGTTACTGTAGTGTAAACAAATGACTGATTGTTATGGTGTCACAAAACATAATGCATGAGTTTACTTTATTTATTTTTTTTGACAGTATGTGCCAGTGACAGGAGTTAACAGTGACTTAACAGCATCATTTACAGTTTGTGAACCACAGACAGCAGATTTCAGAGGGATGCACATGTTTTCCTGTTCATGGATCCGTTGATTTAATTTAATTGCAAGAAATGCTCACAAATCTGGAGGTATTAATGATCCACAAAAATGTGTTCATGTTACACAATGTTACACATTGAAATGACCACATGGACAGCTCTGAAAGTGGATTAAATAGTTTAGGTTCAGTTCAGAAGAAACATTGTCTAATTTATGTCTGACATCAAAAAATGTTTTGGTTTATTAAAATAAAAGCACCTCTTGCTTGAGTTATATAAAAAATATATATTATTTCTTTTTTGTAAAGATGAACAATTGAATGTTCTAAAAAAAAAGTTATAAGCTAAATTTGGTCTAAGGATAATATAAGTACATAAAATCCTTGGACTTTTCTAGAAGATGCTAAGGTTAATTTTCTTCAGCACAGTTAGAAAAAAAATGAACTTGTTGCAGTTTTGTCACTATTAAATACAGTTAATAATCAGGTGGTAGTTAACAGTTTATAACATAAAGTATTCGAGAAACACAAATAAAGTGAACTAAATTGAAACTCTGAATTCTCAGACTGCGAAACCCTTCAAAAATGTTTTAATTAGTGTTTACCGGAACATTTTTCAGATGTCAGACACTGCAGAATCGATGGCGTACAAAGGAGACTTTTCGAAAGGGAAAAAAAGAGAAAGATTTTAACGTTAGACCTGAATCCAAATGACTTTCAAATGCGCTCAGGGGAAAAAAATAGATAAAAAAATAAAGGGAATGTGTCTTGAGGACTGAGGCTATGCCCTCTCACCAGCCTGAAAGCTTTAAAGACAATTTCACACTGGCAGATTTTTCAGCTTTTTGTGCTGCATTTTGATACAAATGCCAAAATTACTTCAAAACAAAAAAAGTTGGAAACTCCTTCAAACGATGGACTATCGCAGCCTGTGAGGACAACTCATTATAACACACACACACACACACACACACAAAAAAAACCTTGGTTTTCACAAACGCGTTTAAACTCTTTAGGAAGGAAACGTGGCTGTTGCACAGACATGTGTCCCACTGGATGAATGAATCCTTGTGTGAATGGAAAACCGCTGCAGAGGCGCAGAGACTGTGTGAAGCTGGAGAGGAAACGGAAATGGGCTTGAACAGAATAAGCATGGAGAACGGTCCGCAGGGCTGACTCTGGTAAACCGGCTGATCTCCTTCATTACTCATGCCTGTGAGTCTTCGCCAGCAGATGTTTTCTTCCCGACTTGTGGTGTTTTCCCTCAGGTGTTTGTGGGAGGGAGGAGGGGGGGGGGGGGGCAAAAACAAAAAAACCCCCCTGCCTCTTACTGAGATCCTGCGTACAGATGTAGATGAAGTAAGTCCAAACTGTTGCCCGCTGCTTCCTGCTTCGCATGTTTCACTTGCGACCATGCGTTCTGTCAAGTGTAATTGTGTAAAAATTAGTCAGATCAAGGCGCGCACACACACGCACACACACACACACACGCTTCCTTCACACTTGCAGGCTCGTTCAGGCTGTAGCGAGGGACTGTGCATGGGAAGTGTGAACAGTAGAGGGCCAGACAAAGTGACATGTGTTCACCCGAGGGGCTGGCACTGTAATTGTGTGTGTTTCCACGTGCCCGTGTGCATATGTTTGTGTGAGAGCGCGGTGTTTAGCGCGCCAGCCCTGCTGTTTACTGTGGGGGATTTTAGAAGAATTGTGGGCAGCTGGCAAGCCCCTTCAGTTTCTCTTTCTCTGTTTTTTTTCTCCCTCTCCTAAATCTGCCGGTAGCTGTGCGTAGTCGTTCTCTGCCCTTCAGTCGCTCGCTCCACTTATGTGGTTATGATGTTCCACAGCGATTTAACAAAATAGGCAATTTCCTTCATGAAAAGAAGCAATAATTTGCATTTTAGGAGTTGGGATACAGGCTTATGACATGTTGCTATAAAAGCTATTTAAATAAATGACAAAAAAAAAAAAAAAAAACAACAAACAACAAATTATAATAATTTTTTTTTTAAATGAGTGGCTAAATATGGGAAGGAAAGAGCAGCGAAAGAGTTGTTTTTTTGATGACTTGCACAAATGCTGTAGAATCTTATCTTCATATTCAAAAACAAACAACACAACAAGAGGAGCTAAAAGTGAAATCCAGCTGTTTCCTGAGCAGAGGTGAGCAGCTGGACGATGACATATTCAGCATCTCAGGGATTCACACTGTTCAAACTTCAGCTAAAAACAGATTGAATGTCAAGAAGGGTAAAACATAGAAATAAAATTGGACAAGGAACTTTTTTTCTTTTTCTTTTCTTTAATAGAATTTTATGTCTGCATGATTCATCTGCAGAACTAATGTTTTGTCTTCCTTCTTTTGCAGGTTCTGATGCTGGGTTCTGCTTCTGCACCGACTGGCTGACTTTTTTTTCTCCCACTCCTGGCTGCCATTTAAATATATCGATACCGAGAGAATAACAACCTTTGGGCATAGCTTTTTGTTAATTTTCACCTTTACAAGTTAATTTCCAGTATTTATATATATATATACATATATATATATATATATATATATATATATATATATATATATATATATTTTTTTTTTTTTTTTTTTTTAAAAAAAAAAACAACAACAGCAAAACCCCCCCCCCCGCCGA